TTAGCCAATGAGCGGAAATCCTTGCAAAGGTCATGTGAAGTCTCCTTTCTATTCCTCCCTGCCCACACCCCAATCACCTTGCTCCTGATACTGAAAATGAAAAGAAGCATTCTTCCTCCACTGCTTCAGTCTCTCTGGATTGTCTTCAACCGAATCTTGTCCCTATCACTTAGATCACTCCCCCCCTTAAAAAAACCTCACATACTTTTGCTCAGAGATGGGAGTTGACTCAGAACAGAGTTGTGCCAGATTATCAGAGACATTGATGTTCCAATGCCTAGGCCTCCTTCTGGTGCTATGTAACAGAGTACAAGAGGAGTGTGAATGGACCAAACCAAAGATCCAGGCAGTCCTGTGCTGTTTCTGACAGGGGCTAGCCAGATGTCCCCACAAGCAGGGCACGAGGGCAGTAGCTCTTCCTCAGTGTCGCCCTCATCAGCAGTTAGTATTCAGTGTCATACTGCTTTGGAGCAGGGAGGTTCCTAGCTAATGGCTTTCAGACTAAGTCAGGGTAGGCAACTCCTGCCCTCCTGGCACACCAGACGGTTTTGCTCAGCACTCAGGCCCAGCTCTCTGCCTGAGCAGCCCCGGTAGTGGCAGCACTGCTGGGCTAGCAGTGTGGGAGAAGGCAGCAGGCGTGACTGAGGCCCACCATCACCTCCCAGACCTGCCCGTATATTGCTGTTTCCACCCCCCATAAATTTGTGTGTTCATTTTTTCTTGTTGTTTTGCTGTCAAGTCACAGCTGACTTATGGTGACCCTGCAGGGTGGAGGTGGTTTGCCATTGCATGCCTCTTTGTCACAATCCTGGTATTCCCTGGAGGTCTCCCATCCAAATATGAGCCAAGGCCACCCCAGCTTAGCTTCTGAGGTCTGACGAGATCGGGCTAGTCTGGGCTATTCAGGGCCCGTACCGGATTCCAAAGTGAGTTTTGGTTGCCTATCCCTGATCCAAGTGAATGGCCACCACCACAGCCTAGGACAGTGAATTCCACAGCTTAATCTGCCAGGCGTTTGGTTGAGGGCAGCAACGGTTCCATCCTGGCACTCCCCCCCACCCCCACCCCCAGTGAGATAGCGGTGTTAACTGGCTTTATTTGCGCCATCTCTAGCTACATTTTTCTTACTGGCTTTAACTTGTTTTTAATCGATGTTTTATGACCAGGTTGTACACTGCTCTGAGCCTGGTTTGCTGGGGGAGGGTGGCTGTGTGTGTGTGTGTGGGGGGGTATCCAAACAAATAAATAAATAAATTTTGCTGATGGGCCAGGGCTTCCTCACCCCACTTACAAGGCTGTGTACATTTCCAGCATCTGTAGAGCTGCTTCATAATTAGCGGATGGCATGAATTTCATATGTTATCTTAAACTGGGTTTCCAGATTGCAGGGATTGAGATGTGTAGGCAGTGTAACGTCAACAGTCTAAGTGAGAAGGAGCTTTGGAGTCCTGCGTATCCCTTAGGGTTTTGCATTCATATTTGACCATGAACATGATGTGCAAAGGTGAATTTGCTTTCATGTACATGCTCTGGCCAGCTCTAGCACCTTGTCACACCTTGCCAAGCCCATAGCTATGGGATTCTGGGAAATGTGGAATGGAGCAGCATATACCTGGGTTGGAGTGAGGTCTGTGCATGTGTTGGTTAATTAAGGAGTGTTCTTTATTTGCTATTGGCCATGTAGCTACTCGGATCTCTCAAAGGACTGGAGTCGGGACTCCAAGGAGGAGTGTAAGCGGACAAGGGGCTGAGCAGGTAGAGAGGGAATCCATAGATGAAGCGATTCAGCAACCTGGTGACGAAAGTAAACCAAGAGAACTGTCGGATTTGGAAAGTGATGCAGATGTGGTGTCTGAAATTGAGATGGAACCTGAAGTTGAGGATGTGTCAGAGGCTGAAATGGACTCAGAGAATAACGGTGAGAAAGACTCATTTGATGGGAGCGGTGAGATGGGGAGGGTGATTGGGGTTGCAGATTCCAATGCACGGCACGGACCGTCAGGCTTTGAAGCTGGTGCTTAATGGAACCCATTCTAGCAAATCCTTCTCCAGAAAACGGAACCTTGTGCTTCTCTTGAGGGTGCTCCAAAGGGATTTGCCAGAAAACTTAATTCTCCCCCAGTACTTGTACACGTTCTTGAATAATTTCTTATATCCCCTGTGTGCCAAGATGGTAGCTGGTCTTACAGCTTGGCTTCCTTCCAGTCCTGTGAAACTTAGTGCTCTTCAAATCAGAGAATCCCAGTACTTCTGGCTTCTGCTATGAGATGCTGGGTCAGTTATGAAAAAGGAGGTGTCATGATACTGAATGTGTGCCTCATCTCCTGCCAACCCGCTTGTAGGCTCTTTCTGTGCTGACTCTCAGATTACTGTTTCCGTCCCCCATCAGAGCCACCTGTGAAGACACCAGCATTTGTACGCACAAAAGCCTTCCAGTGTACCCCATTGCTGTCCAGCCCACGCACCCCGAAAGCTGTCTCCAAGTAAGTACAGAGCCGCAACTGGGAAGAACTGAACCTTGGTTCAGAACCAAGCTGCTGAGGCTGGGAGGTTTTGGCTGTGGCCTGAGACACTCTGCCCTGCAGCACAGCAATGGCCTTTCTGGCCAGCCCTCATAGGGAGCATAGCAATCCATTTCTTGGCTGTGGCTGCAGTGTGTAACTTCCGAGCACCGAAGTACCACTGCTTAATTCTGCCGGGAAGCCATGCCCTCTAGCCCATAAGTCCTGCTGCTAGCCTCGGGAGTGACAGTGGCAGCTGGTAGGTTGTTCAGCGATAAAGGAGAGGTACTCTGTACATGCTCAGTTTTGCCTCGGGCTCTTCTGCAGCTCCTCTGATTCTGTGCCCCTCCTGTTAGAACAGTCCCGAGACTGCTGCTGCTAGTGCTAGGATGGACACCCAAATAATGTTCAGTTAAACAGTAAAGCTTCATATAAACTCTTCTGCCAGGTTGGTTTCTGAGCAGATCTGCCTTACGGGTTTCCTGAGTTGCTGGTGTGACAGAAAATCCAAGAAGCCCAGAGCAGCTGGCTGGTATTTTTTCTGGTGTCTCCAACTGAGCCAGCAAGCTGTACACACCTAACCGTTCAGGCATTCTGCTGTAGTGAAGTGTGATATCTGCAGAGAGCCACTTCACACTCTACGTTTTCCCCTTTATCAGTTCACCTGTCAGGAAGCTTGTGGCATTATCTCATATGCGATGAATCATTGTTTCCACATAGCCAAAGTAATATGAAGCTTCTCTTAAAGTGAATATAATTTTTCGACATGAGGATTATTCCCTGAGCTTTGTGATACGCACCCACCGTTTCTTTGCTGTGGAGTTTGTTGCTTTAAGATAGATGGGTTGTTTCTCTCAAAGGTCTGCTTCCAAACAGCCCTCAAAGAAACAGGTTCCAAAAGAATCCAAGAAGGCACACAGAGAAAAACGTCAGCCGGGACTCTCCAGCAGCTGGGTGAAAAAGATGTTCAGCCACTATGCAAAGATGCCAGTGGCCAAGGATGCTTTCCAGGCTGTGGAGAGATGGTGAGTAGGTATAAACCTGATAAATATTTTCTCAGCCGATCACTTGAGGGGACGAGTGATTTGGCTATCTGAAAATGGAGGATGGGGGCACCTTCTTCTGGGAACCATAGAATTGGACCCCCTGGTCCAGTCTTTTTGAAACTTGGGGGGGTGTTTGAGGAGAGGCACCAGCAGCTATGCTGTATATTTAGTGCCTCTATCTCAAAAAACAGCCCCCCCAAGCCCCAGATAACCACTGAGCAATTCTCTATTGTATCTTATGGGGAACAGTCTCCATAGGGTATAATGGAGTGCCCAGCTGCCACCACCACCCCGCTTTCTCATAGCCCTGAAGCGGAGGAGGAGCTCCAAACCAGGGGATTCCCCACCCCCAGCTGGGGATTGGTAACCCTAGGAATGGAGAAGGATTAATACATAAATACAATAGATCTGGGGAATCAGACCATTCCTAAATAAACAGAACTAGGAAGTCAGATCATCCCTAAATAAGTACTGATCTTACTAAACCTCAATGGACAAGGGGCAGTTGCAGCCTGCCCAACTCACTTCCTGCCCCCACTTTCTAGTGTCAGCCTGTACTTCAAGCATCTGAGTGATGACCTGGAGACCTACGCAAATCACGCTAGAAGGAAAACAATAGAATTGGCCGATATGGAACTTCTCATGAGGAGGTAAGGGATGACTGCCTCCTTTCAAGGGACACAGCACCAAAGAGCAGTGCTGTTCTAGATCTGCACTGTGTGTTTCTGAAAACAGGTCTCCCCAGAAGCAGGCGGATGGGCTTACTTTACTCAACAAGTGGTTCGGGGGCAGTAAATCTCTGATTTCTAGTGCAAGGTGGCAAGATCAGGGGAGGCCTTGCCCTCTGTGTGTTTGTTAGTTCTCTACAGCAGTTTGTTGGCCACTGTGTGAAAAGGGATGCTGGACTAGATGGACTGATCCAGCAGAGCTCTTCTGATAATCTTATGCTTCTGCTTCTTTTGGACTAACGTGAAGCTTCATAGATATAACTTGACATGCTAGGAAATCTAGCTGGTTTCTCAACAGTCCAGGCCTTCAGTCAAAGTTGTTGATGGCAGTGACTGGAATGTACATATTTGGTAGTAAATTCCTTGTCCATCTCATAGCGAATGCTCTTTGTAAGCTGGGTCTGCTTTGGTTTGATAGATGTAATGATCTTAGACCAATACGAACAGAACTCAGCAATATACCCCCCCCCCGTCTTCCTTCTTCTACCTAGGCAAAGGCTGGTAACTGACAAGATCCCTTTAAATGTCCTGATAGAGCGCCACTTGCCTCTGGAGTATAGGAAACTGCTCATTCCTGTTGCTACCAGTGGAAACAAAGTCATCCCACTCCATCCATGATGAGATTTAGGCAGAGTGCCTGATGCTCAAGGAAGATAAGACCCCATTTAGTGAATCAAATGCAGGCCGGAACCAGCATGGAGATGGGAACTGAAGTGGGCAGAGCCCTACCCGCAAACCTGGCTGTACCTAAGAGGGGATGCGGAAAAACCTCGGAAGTATTAATAATTTATCTGATGCCCTTCCCTTCAAATTTCTGTGGTACACAAGCCACTTTGTTCTTTTTAACTGTACTGTCATTGTAAATAAAATGTTTTCTAGAGCACACAAACTCTGCGGTTTCAAGTGTGGTTTAACAAGATATGTGATATTCTGTCTGCCTACTGGTGGGAGCAGGGGGTCAAGAGGCTTGCTTCCTGATAGATAACCTTGCAACACCAAAGACAAAACTGGATCAGATTTTCATTGTATTTCTAACACAGAAGAGTCTTTAGCTGTTTCGAAAACTGAGTTAACGAAATAGGAAGAGTTGTTCAAATTCATTATTTCAGATTAACTCTCAGACATAGTCCAAAATTTCCACAAAGTTATTTCACAGGGCATTCCCTAAAAATGGCCTGGAAGAAAATATGTTGACCCTGGGGTATGACAATTACTAGGGCTTAACAGTTTCATGCCCCATCTTCTGCCTGCAAGTAATAGTGCTAATGGATGTGTTACAAGCCCTAACCCCCATATTAGCTCAGACAAGTTTCAAACACACAGTGAGCTGCTGTCGTTTTACCAGACCAAGACTAAGCTCAGCATGAATACTGTGTTTGCTGCCAGAAAGAGACAGAATGGTTTTATTTACACTTGTGGAAATCCCAACAGGGGCAGCAAATGAAAAAAAAAATGTTCTAAATCTGTCTGCCACAAAGTTTCAACATCCCGTTTACATGACTAGTTCTTGATAAGGGTTTCTTCATGTGATCAAGTAGGGAGTCCATAGGCAGGGTAGAGTGGGGTGCACCAGTTTGAACTTCCAGCCTGTGTCAGAACAAAACTCAGTCTCTTTATAATTGGTTAATGTGTTTTGGGAAATGGTATGGTCTGAACAGGATGCTCACATGGTTACGAAAAACAAGCAAACATAGATGATGGAGAATCTTATAGCAGACCTTGATTCTGTAGAGCCGTCTCATGTTCTGCTGGTGAGGGGGAGATGGTGATAGACAACTTAAAAACTGATAGACAACTTAAAAACTGAAAAATCACCAGGCCCAGATGGCATACATCCGAGAGTTCTGAAAGAACTCAAATGTGAACTTGTAGATCTCCTGACAAAGATATGTAATCTTTCCTTAAAATCTGCCTCCATTCCTGAGGATTGGAAGGTAGCTAATGTCACTCCCATCTTTAAAAAGGGTTCCAGAGGAGATCCGGGAAATTACAGGCCAGTCAGTCTGACATCGATACCGGGTAAATTGGTGGAAACCATTATACCTATCTCATCCTCACTTCCATACATGGCTGTGAGCAGATGAGGTTAAGAAAAACTTAGCTTTTTACATGGAAGCAGATGGAATATATTACTGCTTTGGCTGTTGGGGGGGTGGGGCAGTAGAATTGATATTTTCATCCTAGCATCTTTGCTAGAAATGTCTGTTCTCTGCAGGGCTAAGATACTCACATGTTTCCCAGTTCGGCACGTAGGTCACGTAGATATGTCTGTTTGTCATTGATATACTGATCCTTCAGCTTCGAAACCAGGGGTTCTGGCCTCCCCTCTTCATCCTGCAACAGCACAGAAGCCTGTGGTGACTGGATCTATTGAGATGTCACAAGGCCATGTGTGGTGGTGGACACCAGCTGGTTTGTGCTGGGCTAGTTACCACTGTTCTGGATGAGTGGAGGGATCCGTAACAGGAGAGTGGTGTGGAAAGTTGCGCAAGCCTAGCTGATCAATTCTCAACAAAAGCCTGAGCTTCTCTCGACTGCAGCTTACTACTCTTCAAATTACCCTGACTTTTCATATATAAACTGCCTTAATAGTTGCCATTTGAAAGGCAGCCATGATTACACAGGAACGGACTTATCCTTTGTATTAACAAACTGTCCTTAAGCTTTAGGGGTTAGGGTTTTCTGTGCCTCATTTGCTGGCCAGGATGCTGTTTAGTTCCTTCCCTTGTGGAGTATTCATCTGGGTGGATAATTGGTCATTTTCTGCCTGGTGTTTCAAGCAAAGGGAGGGCAAAAGTGCACAAGTTTCTTTTCTTTTTTTTGCCTTCTTGGTTTCCAGAAGACTGGATATGATTTTATAAAACAATTTTATTCTGCCTTTCCACCCAATCAGGACCCCCAAGGCAGTGCACATAAAGAGCATTTGACCAATTAAAGCCAACATTTTAAATTATAAAGTACTTAAATGAAAACACAAACAATACCAGAACCAGGGAGGGTGGCCAATAACGGTTATTGGAGTTATGTCAGACGAAACCAAAGAGCCTTCACCCACTGGTGGAAGACAGACAGAGGGAGACGGATGAATCTCCCTGGGGGTGAAGTTCCAAAGTTTTGGTGTCATGAGCAAGAAAGCCCTTTCTCTGGTTGCCACCCATCTAGCCTCAGATGTGAAGTAGGCAAGTGAAGTAGGGCCTCTGGGGATAACCAGAGTAAACAGACAGGCTCATATGGGAGCAGGTGGTCTGCTTGAGACTTCTTCACACCGCCTGTAACAGAGCGCCTTGTCACATGAATCAAGCAAGTGTCATTTCTGATGCTACCCACCCAAATTCTCTGCTGCTTTTTGGGTATGTGCTGCAGGTTGGATTCAACTCAATTTAGTGGCACTGAGTACGATTTAGTGGCAGCATTACGTTTGTATTTTTAGAGAAGCTCTAATCTGAACATCACATTTGCGTATTATCACACCTTGCTGGATTTCTAATGCAAGTGAGATCTTAAAGGAAATGAAGGCTGACATTCCATGCATGCACCCATGGGAGTCTCTGTAGGACTTGCATCCGAGTGTGTTGGTTTGGGCTGCTTGGGTGCAGGCCTAAGTATACCTATAGAGAATAAAACTGCTTTGCCTCCTCATTCCCTCTTCATTCTCACATTCCCTTCATTTCTCCAGCTTGTTCATCTTTAGCTGCTTGAAGGTCTTGTGTTCCCTCAAAGCACATTGCCTTCGTCTTCTGTTGCCCTGATACCTCCTGGGACTCCTGTGTGGTGCCACCTCCTTTCAATTCATCCTCAGACCCAACTTTCCCCATAACCTCTTGCAGTCTCCAACTACTGCAGCAAAGTCCATGCAATTGAAATGAATCCATGGTCTTTCTTCTGTTGTGTATGCTGAGCGAGTCGCCTTTTGCAGTGACCTGTCCTGTTCCAAAGATGTTGACAGTGCTTCGTGAATAAGTCATCAATGTCACTCCTGCAAGATTACCTACAGCTGCTGTCCTCTCCAGAGGGAGCTCAGAAGCAGAATGAACTGCTGTTCCTCTCGTGCAAAGAATATAACCACAGGATGAATACCTACCTCCAAGAATAAGAGCCTGTAGAAAATGAACTCCTCAGGAGTTTCTGGCCTGCAGCCTGCTGCGTCTACTAACTCTTGAATCTGTTCGTCGGACTTTAAGGGGAAAGCTGACTTTAGGGCACCGCTATAGCAGGGGAGAGAAGATTTCAGTCTACAGGTCTGTGTCACCAGTGCACATGTATTAAACTGTCACACAGATCTAAGCTAACAGTTATTTGCTTTGTACAGCACACAGGTCAATGAGAGAGACATTTAGCAAAGGTATGCTGTTGAATATGGCCTCATAAGAAAGTTGGAACCTCCCAGCTGACTTGAACCAAAGGTTCAGCATCTGGTTTCCCATTCTGGCTAACTGGATGCTTCAGGAAGTACACAATCAAGGCATGAGGGCCCTCCCCCCTCTCCTGCTGTTGCTGTTACACTCTTATTGGGGAAAGGCAGGAAGTGTAGCAAATGTTGACTTCTGTTTCTTAAAAACATACCAAACATAATTAAAAAACTGTCTGAACTAAAATCAATACTGAAGTCTGCTAGCTGCCATCTCCTTTCCCAGAATGCCACTTTGTTATGTCTTAGCGTCTAAACAATCAAACACCAAATTTACCTCAACTATTACTCCTAGTTACATTGCTGCCTCTGACCCTTGGGGAACTACCAGTGGTGTGTTGTATCTTTCCCACATTTGTATCCCACCTTGGGTTACATATGCCTTGTTAAAAGAGCCAGTTTGGTATAGTGATTAAGTACATGGACTCCAGTCTGGGAGAACTAGATTTGATTCCCCACTCCTCCACATTCAGCTGCTGGATGACCTTGGGTAAGCCGCTGTTCTCTCAAAAGCAGTTCTCTCAAAGCTCTCTCAGCCCCACCTACCTCACAGAGTGTCTGTTGTGGGGAGAGGAAAGGAAGGAGATTGTAAGAAGCTCTGCGACTCCGACTGAAGGGTATCCAATCTCTTCTTCTTAAAATCAACAGGGGTTTCTAGTGCAGCCCTTGTGCCTTGTCTTTCAAAGATGCCCACAAACAATTCCTCCCCAAGCCAAACACTTACATGAATTGTTCGCTGGTCAACTGGCCTGTATTGTCCGAGTCCACATTAGTCAGTTCCTTTAACAGAGTGGCAAGTTGCTGGAGTTGGCTGTGGTATACCCCTTCGTCGAGCTGTGATCACAAAAGCAGCAGAGTTCAGTTAAAGCGTCTCACGTAGTGCCGCCTTCAGGTCGGAATGCAAAATTGGAAGTGCCCGCCCCAAATGCAGCTCCAGTTCAATGCCTTCCAGACCTTTGCTTATAGTTCGTTCAGTGTAGCGGGGCAAGTGCAGAACATCCTCTCGTTTCCAGTCATTCTACAATTGGCATGAACTGGCAGTAGCTACAGTCAATAAGCAAATTAATACCTTGAATAGCCGAAATCGATAAGAGGATCAATCACTGCTGCATGTGCCCTTCCACCTACTTGCACATAAATCCCAAATCTCTGTGTGCTTAGAAACAAAACAGTAAGACCTGGTAATCTGATGGGGTAAGACGTTCTGGACTGGCTTCTTCACATGCAGTTGTTCAAGCTCTTGCTATCATATTGAAAGGGAAAAGGCAGGAGGGAGTTCTGACCCTCTTGTATAATAACAGTCAAGACTTAAATCAGCAGACTGACCTCAGGCCATCTGGCTTGGCTTTAACAACATTTTGGTTTTAACCCAGCTATTGTGGAAGAATACCAGGTGGCACATCTTTGGGGGCCTGGGCACCTTAGTGGGACTTGCATCCAAACCAGTGTGCCTAGATTTGAGCAGCATAGTTAAGAACATAAGAGATGCCAATGTTGGATCAGGCCAAAGGCCCATCCAGTCCAACACTCTGTATCACACAGTGGCCAGAAATATCAGTGCCATCAGGAGGTCCACCACTGGGGCCAGGACATTAGAAGCCCTCCCACTGTTGACCCCCCCAAGCACCAAGAAGACAGAGCATCACTTGCCCCAGAGTCCCTATCTATACCTTGTGGCTAATAGCCACTGATGGACCTCTGCTCCATATGCTTATCTAATTCCCTCTTGAAGCCGTCCATGCTTGTAGCCGCCACAACTTCCTGTGGCAGTGAATTCCAAGTGTTAATCACTCTTTGGGTGAAGAAGTACTTCCTTTTATCCGTTCTAACCCGACCGCTCAGCAATTTCATGGAGTGCCCACGAGTTCTTGTATTGTGAGAAAGGGAGAAAAGTACCTCTTTCTCTACCTGCTCTTTCCCATGCATAATCTTATAAACCTCAATCATGTCACCCCTCAGTCATCGTTTCTCCAAGCTAAAGAGCCCTAAGCGCCTTAACCGTTCCTCATAGGGAAAGTGTTCCAACCCTTTTATCATTCGAGTTGCTCTTTTCTGCACTTTTTCCAAAGCTATAATATCCTTTTTAAGGTGTGGTGACCAGAATTGCACACAGTATTCCAGATGAGGTCGCACCATTGATTTATATAGCGGCATTATGATATTGGCTGATCTGTTTACAATACCCTTCCTAATAATCCCCAGCATAGCATTGGCCTTCTTTATTGCAGTCACACACTGTCTCGACATTTTCAGTGAGTTATCCACTACAACTCCAAGATCTCTCTCTTGATCAGTCTCTGCCAGTTCAGACCCCATCAACGTGTATTTATAGTTAGGATTTTTGGCTCCAATGTGCATCACCTTGCACTTGGCCACATTGAACCCCATTTGCCATGTTGACGCCCACTCGCCCAACTTTGACAGATCCCTTTGGAGTGCCTCACAATCCTCACTGGTTTTCACCACCCTGAACAACTTCGTATCATCCGCAAATTTAGCCACTTCACTGCTTACTCCCAACTCCAAATCATTAATGAACAAGTTAAAAAGCAGTGGACCAAGTACTGATCCCTGCGGTACCCCACTGCTTACCACCCTCCACTGAGAAAATTGCCCACCTACACTCACTCTCTGTTTTCTATGAACTAGCCAGTTTTTGATCCATAAAAGGACTTGTCCTTCTATCCCATGATTTTTGAGCTTACTTAGGAGCCTTTGATGAGGAACTTTATCAAAAGCTTTCTGGAAGTCAAGGTAAATAATATCTATTGGATCCCCCTTGTCCACATGTTTGTTCACCCCCTCAAAGAACATTAACAGGTTAGTGAGACAAGATCTTCCCTTACAGAACCCATGTTGAGTCTGCCTCAATAGGTTTTGTTCATCTATGTGCCTACTAATTCTTTCCTTAATAATGGTTTCCACCAATTTACCCGGTATCGACGTCAGACTGACAGGCCTGTAATTTCCCGGATCTCCTCTGGAACCCTTTTTAAAGATGGGAGTGACATTAGCTACCTTCCAATCCTCAGGAATGGAGGCAGATTTTAAGGAAAGATTACATATCTTTGTCAGGAGATCTACAAGTTCACATTTGAGTTCTTTCAGAACTCTCGGATGTATGCCATCTGGGCCTGGTGATTTATCAGTTTTTAAGTTGTCTATCAGTTTTAGGACCTCCTCTCTCATCACCTCAATCTGACTCAGGTCTTCCAACACCCCTCCTGAAATCAGTGGTTCTGGAGTGGGCAAGCACTTCTCATCTTCCACAGTGAAGACGGAGGCAAAAAATGCATTTAGCTTCTCAGCCATTTCCCTATCATCCTTCAATACTCCTTTTACCCCTTGGTCGTCCAAGGGCCCCACTGCCTCCCTGGCTGGTTTCCTGTTTCTAATGTATTTGAAGAAAGTTTTATTGTTGGTTTTTACGTTTTTTGCTATATGCTCCTCATATTCCCTTTTTGCCTGCCTGACCTCAGACTTGCATTTTATTTGCCATAGCCTGTGTTCCGTTTTATCAGCCTCACTGTGACTAGCTTTCCACTGCTTAAAGGAATTCTTTTTACTTTTTACAGCCTCCATTACTCTGTTTGTTAACCATGCAGGCTTTTTCCTATACCTGTTTGTGCCTTTCCTAACCTGCGGAATATATATTTTTTGAGCTTCTAGGATCGTAGTTTTAAATAGATCCCAAGCTTCCCCAATTGTTTTGACCCTTTCTACTTTTCCTTTCAGTTTCCTCCCCACGTGTCCCCTCATATCAGAGAAACGGCACCTATTCCCTGGGTTTTTTATACACATAAACAAGGAAGAGTATGATGAGCTTTGGTAAAACTACTCACGTTTCCAGTCAGTATGTTATAAAACAGGGACATCGCTTCGTTGGACCGATAGAGCTTCATCATTTCGTAGGTAGTGTATGTCCAGTCAAAAGCAATCGTATCACCGTATTTTCTCTGGAAGTAGTTGAGGAAGAACCCTGACAGGCTGGATCGCTTTCCTTTCTGCAAAAGAGGCAGTAGTTACAGGAAGAGGCCTCGGCTGTTGGCGTCACCCACTTTGGAGCCACCATTTTGAATCACAAGTTGGTCTTCCTGCCAGTCCTTCCCCCTGTAGTAATTTCAGAAGGAAGGTACAGTGAAAATGATTCACCTTGGTGAAGACAGTGATTGCTAAACTTATAAGATATTTTGCAGTTCAGTGATCAGATGCTTGGATTGCCAGCTCTCAAGGTCTAAACTTAGCACATTAAACAGGGGAACAAGTGAGGGGCCAGAATGAAGGGTCACAGGGTATTTTCTGCTTGGCTTGAGAGCATCTGTCATTTATTTCATCCCAGTTCTGTTTCCTGGCCCTCCAGCTACCATATCCAGCACCCTCTAGTCACCTCTGGGTTCACCTCCCCTCTACAGGCATGGCACTTCAACTTCCAGGCTCCACTTCGTTTGCAGTCAGAGCCTCTGGAGAAATGAGTGTGTGATTTTTTTTTTTACATACATAATTTTTTATTTGGTTTTAACACATTATAGGACAGGGAGGGTGTAAGGATAGAAGGGTACAAGCGATGGGATAAGACATAAAGGGAAGTTCCGTCAAGTTTATAAAATAGCTGTTACAAACTTTCCATCTTAATTTTTTGTTTCCAAATCTCTCTCTTTTATATATTTACTGAAGTTAGTAACACTTAATCAAATCGCTAAAATCTATAGTGGATCCTGGGAAAAGTTTCTATACAGTTCAAGTTAGAGTTTCTCCAAGTTTATAGTAATTGTATTCATTATTCATGGTCTTCAAAGTTTCTTTCCACCCAGTCGTAAAATGGTCTCCAATTGTCTCTCACTTTTTGAGAGATGAGTGTGTAATTTTTTGTATGTGCTCCTTTCCATGAGCGAAGGCTTAGCCTGGTTTATGGCTATGGAAGAATACGTATGTGTCAAAAATACTCTTGATATGGGGTTCTTAAAGCCCCATCTTGGGGCTGCAGCTCAGTGGGAGAGCCTCGGCTTAGCATGCAGAAGGTCCCAGGTTCAATCCCCAGCATCTCCAGGCAGTAGGTGATGTGAAAGGCCTCAGCCTGAGATCCTGAAGAGCTGCTGCCAGTCCAAATAGACAATGCTGACCTTGATGGAACAATGGGTCTAAGAGTGTAGAAGGCAGCATGCCCCTCCTCAGACACTTAGCCGTAATAGACATGGGGGTGCAGAACACAGACCTGTTGGTCTACTGTAATCTTTTCTCTCCAGATTTCCCTTAAGAGAGCCACAACCTCTTTCTTCGTCAACTTCTTGTTTCGAACCATGCCGTCATACCTCAGATATATAGGGACTTTCTCACTTTTCCCCTAAGGACAAGAAAGTGTATCAAACCCTGGATAAAACAAAGCAAACCTAAATCAAAGCACAGGGCAGAGCTGTTTCCCCCCCCTTTTTTTTCTGATCCCAGCTTTTGGATCCACAAGGCAGTTATGATACCTTAAAATCACAAAACAGACAAGATACGGAGTAGAACAAAGACCCATAAGTGGCACATAAATCTGAAGGCACCAGGCATCTTTGAAAGAGGGCTTCCTTGCCATTACTGTTTCCCTTGCCGTACCAACTACAGAGCAGTGTGCTGTACTTCGTGAGTGGACTGGTTTCAGTCTTACACAGTCCGCTTACTCCCCCCCCCCAACTCCTTATAGTGCCCTGACAGGTTTTAAATGGACAGAGCAGGGACACAGGAAATCTTAATAGTTAAAAGCATAATTAATTCGCATCAAGTGAATCTGAATGTTCATTCTTGCTTATCACCATAAACAATGCCAGCCAAAAGCCTGCCTAGGCCCGCATTCTTCATTATAGTCCCAGCAACTAGCAGGTGTTGCAGCCTAGCGGAAATTAGCCAGTGTTCTCATAGTGCCCCGTGGTTTCTCTTCTGCTGGCCTGCATTCTACATCACACTTTCAAATCATGGGGAGTGAAGAGGAAGCCTTGGAAAGACTTCACCTTAGAAAGCATTCCCTGAAGACAGGGTGTTTTGAAACTCACTGATCTGGAGGGCAAGAATGATTTCCCGTCCCCTCATTGTTCTATGAGAAAGAATTTCACAAGGCCTCCAAGGCTCGGTGCCTTGGAGATATAGACTCTGTGAGCACCTAGTTTCCTCGCCTATCAGCTACAAGCCAGAATGAGAAACAATAAGGGCCAAACTAAAATATGGCATTTCATTTTAAGATCTGTGAACTGCTCTCTATTTCCAGGCCAGATAGCAGCAGGGAAAGGAAGACCTGTATTGGGGTCAGAGGTCATTTCGGGGGGGGGGGTCGCGGGGGATCGCAGTTGCAAAGGGAGGGTAAGTTGCTTCCTCCCTGCCTCTCCCCACCCCTGCCTGCCTGGGGCCAGGGAGGGCCTTCGCGGGGCTTCCTTGCACTCCCGCCGGCCTTGCAGGTCCACCGCCGGGCCCCTCATGGGGCTCGGCAGTGGAGCTGGGACCGTTGGGGGCGGGGTGTGTGGCCTTATGACACACTTCCCGTTATGTCAGGGGGTGTGGCCTTATGACACACTTCCGGTGATGTCAGGGGGTGTGGCCTTATGACACACTTCCGGTGATGTCAGGGGGTGTGGCATATGCTAATGAGTTATGCTAATGAAGTCCCCTAGCTCTTTTTCTACGAAACAACCCCTGATTGGGGTTGTGGCACAGAGTGGGAGGGGGTTTAATGCTTTCTTTTCCCACTTTGCTCCCCCCCCCACAGCTACTACTTTCCCTTTCTGTGGGATACATACAGATACGCCTACGATTTGAGGGCAGGGGGGAGGATTAAGCTCAGGTCTCAATTGACAGATACACAGATGCATGCACCTATCTGTCATTTAGCTTGAAGAAAATAAGGTGGGATTATTCATTCATGTCCAAAGGGAGAAATCTCACTGGGACCAACGAGCAGCTCGGCCATACCAGCGGTACGAAGGTTTCCTTCTCTCTCAGAATCAAAGCCCCAAGATCTTCCAGAAGCACGTCCACTAGCTGGTCACTAGTCTTGCCTTCGGACAGAGCGTTCCACCGGTCAGGGCCACCAGAAATCACCTCTGCAAGAACAGCAGGAAGATGACAGCTGTCAGATAAGGTGGAACCATCACAACTAGCTGGAAATCAGAGGGACCATTGCTGTAGCTAATAGTAAAGTGTTTGGGTTCTGTGCCAATTAGAACAACCGTCCACAGACAAGTTTGGCAGTCTCTATCTACTTGGGAGAATCCCCACTTGTGCAAAAAAAAAAAAGTATGTTCTAAGTGAAGGAACTGAGAGGGAGGACTAAACCAGTCTTATGTTGACAGAATATGTTCCACTGATGATCAGTAGGTGCTGAAAGCAAAAAAAGAGAGAAAGAATGCTTGGATTCTGTTGATTTCAACAGGACTTAAGGGGACAGGGAAGTGCACAAGTGGACTTGGTTCAATGGGTCTTAAATGCTCTACTTTTCTTTTGGATTGCATACCATGTTTGCAGATCGCACTGCACATCAAAGCGTGTACCTTTGTGTCCCACGTGACTGCCTATCCTTTCTTCATAATCTCTCTTCATAATACCCCTCTTTTCTTGATCCATCTCTCTCATGCCTGTTTCTTTTCATAAAGGCTTGGATCCTGACTAGCGTTTCTGTGGGTGCAAGGACGTCCATTCATGGAGGCAGGAAAATTGTGCTCTGTGAGTGGAAGTCCTTGCACCCACGGGAAGGCTGGCGGGGATCTAATGCAATGTCTCAAATCCCACTAATACTCAAACTGTCAACTTGATGTCAAAATAAACTGATATAGCACCTACAGATGTGCTTTGTGCAGTGTATTTGGAGCACAGAAGTTGATTTTAGTTCCCAGGTTCAGAACAGAAGGATTCTTGGATGTGTATCACTGCAACATCCCTCCTTGGAAGATATGGAGAGACAAACTGGCAAGCTCAAGAGATACCTGCACATTTGATTGATGATGTAAAGTAATGTGGAGAAGGGGGGGAAGCATTGCGGGAAGCCACCGGAGGGAGGGGAGGAAATGGGAATGGGGTAGACAATGGAAAGGATGAAATGGTTTAATTCTAAATGTTGAATTCCTAAGAAAATAAAATTTGTTTACCAAAAAAAAAGAGATACCTGCACATTTGTCCCAGTCGGGACGGGGTGTGGAAGTACGCTGGACATTGATAAGTTCATTGTAGAATTGGTCTCGCTCCTCCGCAATCTGCCTGTGGACATCCAGCATCGTGTTGTATTCTTCTTGGAGATCTTGAAAGTCCGTCTCGAGAACCGTCATCTGAAAGGCAGTATTGATACCTAGCAGGGCAATGGGGGCCCAAATGTGTGGCTTTGCCACATGAACACAGAATCCAACATCCCAGGTAGCATCAGGAAGGACCAACGCTTTGGGTACCTTTTCAAGCAAATCAGTATATTTGTTCTCCTGAGATTCAAAGTCTCTTCTAGGCACCACGTCCCCATAGTTGGCTTTCATGGTGTTCAGCTCTACTTGGGCTTTAGTAAGGTCCCGCCGTGCTGTCTTCAAAGCCAGCGTTAACGTCACCGGATCTTCTCCCTTCTCATCTTTAAAACATTTTAAAAAAAAATAACTGTGGGACAAAATATCTAAAAACACAAATAAAAAAGCAGCACCAATCCTATGCCCCAAACAACTAAAATTATCACGGTGCCTCCTTCCTGCTTTATGACAAAGCTCATTTTGGATGGACAATCGCATTGGCTACCTTGGACTTTGGTGAGCTTCATTTCCTCCTTCAGTCGGTACATTTCATTAAGATCCAGCAGCAACAGCTTGCGGGCATCGCGCTCGTTCAGATAGCGGAGGTTCTCCTCAGCCACCGCCTTCCGTAGCTTACTCACCTGTGCAAGGCCAGAGAGAAGAGACCCTGATTCACGGGCCCTGACAAACTTACTTTGCAAGCTCAGCAGCAGAAGCGAATGCCACAGCGCCAACGCTTGATGGGCTGAGGTAAGTCGGCAACGGGGGGGGGGGGGGGAGAACTTCTGAAATGGTGATATCTGACACAGTCCTTCCTGAGAGGAAAGTTAACAAGTTTCAAGGAATGGAAGGAACTGAGATTCAACAAGCTTATGCAGAGGAAGAGGAAAGAGGCGGCTGACTGTTAGGAAGTGGCCACGCCTCAGTGGTAGAGCATCTGCTTGCCATGCAGAAGGTCCCAGGTTCAATCCATGGCATTTTCAGGTTGTTTTTTTTAAAAAAAAGATCAAGTGATACAAAAGACCTCCACCTGAGGTCCTGGAGAGCTACTGCTGGTCTGAGTAGACAATACTGGCTTTGATAGATGAATGGTCTGACTCAGGGCTTTTTTTGTATAAAAAGCCCAGCAGGAACTCATTAGCATAATAGGCCATACCCAACAGCAGGAACTCATTAGCATATTAGACCACACCCTGACAGCACAGCACATTCACATATCAGGCCACACCCACCTTTTGCTTCTTATTCTCTTTACCTTGTTTGTTGTCAAAACCCAGGGCTTTTTGCATGTTAGGCCACACACCCCTAATTGTAGCCAACCCTATTGAGTTTCTGCTGTTGAGTGTGGCCTATTATGCTAATGAGTTCCTGCTGGGCGTGGCCAACTTGGGAGCCAGCCGGAACTTCGTTCCTGTGCGTTCCTGCCCAAAAATAGCCCTGGCTCTGACTCAGTGTAAGGCGACAGCTCCATGTGTACATGTGTGTTCTTGGGTTAGGAAGCCCTGCGCCTCCACATCATCCCACAACAGATTTGAAGCTCTGATTCATTGTATCAAGGAGCTCTGGCTGGAAGAGGCTGTCCAAAGATGCAGGCAGAGGTCTTTCCAGCTTAGCTACAAGGGAACCTTTGAAGTGGAGGTGCAGGGAACTGAACTTGCAAAGTGTGTGCTGCACCATAGAACTGCGATCCCTTTCTGGAAAAGTGGGCACCATAACAGGATGGATCTAAGCCATGGAGTTGGATCCAAAGGACACTTCCTCTCATTGCAGAAGTCCTTCCACTCACAGAAAGACTCCTCCTGGGATCAGGGGGAAAAGATCTTTAGATCTAGTCATAGGTTTCCATTAAATCAAATGATATTTTTTAAGGATAGCTGCTTGTACACCACTTATGGGAGAAGCCGTGCCCAACTTGCTCAGCCCACCACAATTAGAACAGCATTCCCAAACTTCTCATGGAACGCTTTCACCTGGCTGACACTCTCCCCATCCCCAGCACTGCATTATCACCTAGAGAGGAACGCGAGAGGGCTTTGAAAGAAGGGCAGGGCCTGGGCTTGACAAGGGGCAGCGATTGCATTAGCTGAGATACACAATTATCACATGAAAATGAGTCAGTCTATTGGTCCATGAAGGTCAGTATCGTCTACTCAGACGGGCAGCAGCTCTCCAGGGTATCAAGGGCGAGGTCTTTCACATCATATACCGACTGATCCTTTTAACTGGAGATGCCAAAGATTGAACCTGAGACCTTCTGTACGCAAAACAAGTGTTCTACCATTGAGCCAAGGCCCCTCCCAGAGCTCTCTAAACGTAAATGCTTTAAGATGTGGATGGGTAGGGATCCATCTCACCTGGATCTCCAAAGAGCATTTCTCCTCCTTCATTTGGTCAATGAGCTTTAGCAGATGGATCCTGTCCCTCTTCAGCTGTGCTATTTCAACTTTCTCTTGCTCCTGAAAAGCCAGGATCTGCTGAGTGCATTGGTCGGAGGCCGTAACCAAAAAGGCGTTCACCGACTCCAAGGAATATATTTTCTCCCGCAGGTGTGCTAGAGAGGGTCAAATGCAGAAATCCCCAGAGATGTTATCTTCCAGAGCTTGGGGTAGAAATGCCCTTCCCAACGGACTGAGGCCATAAGACTTCCTTCCTTTTCTGTGTGTTTTTGCTGGAAAGCCCTGCCTTAGGACTCTCGTGCACATACACTGAACCTAAGATCACTGCCCATTCCCTATAAGTGATGACTGATGCCTCTTGCTCTGAATTATTGCATCAAAATGTCTGTGCTGTAGCAATCTTGAGTATGTTGTTCAGGTGTGTATCTGTAAGCTGCAAACCTACTTTTGATTTATTGACATTCATTATAGAAATCTCATGGTCAGTGTTCTGAGCCTAGGCCCGAGGAAAAAACATGAAATGGCTGGGCATTGTGAGCTTTTGTACATAAGTTGCTTCACGTGCTGGTCCAGATTATGAGAAGGCATCTTGACACAGACTGAGGGCTATTTGTTTGTCTACAAAACTATCGTCTTCCCCAGAGAAGTAACTACAGCTGTGCTGGACACACATTCTCAGCCTAATCCACCTCACTGGCTTGTTGTTATTCCTCCTCTAAAATAGTTCACATTGCTTTCTTACTGAGAAAGACTGGATCATGAGGGAACATATGGGGAAAGGGGTCCCTGACCATAAAGGACTTTAAAGGTGGGAGGAGGGGGAAGAGCCTCAGCCAGTGCTTTATCAGACTCTCTCAATCGCACAGGAGAGGTTTGCCTATCTCTCTCCCCTGTACGGTTGAGAGAGTCTGGTAAAGTAAGCTGTGATGTAGCAGCAGCAGCAGAACTGGAAAAGAAAGCAGGAAACAGCAAGGGCCTTGCGGGCCGGATTGCAGCCATGCGAGGGCCTGATCCAGCCCCCGGGCCGCATGTTTGACACCCCTGAGCTACAGTATTAGACTGAGATTTGGGTTAAAATCCCCATTCAGGGTTGAAGCAGACCAGAAAAGATCTGTGAATTGGAATCTTCCATGGCTTTAAAAGAATGGGAAAGGATCACTGGATGAGAGGGGATTTAACTTGTTCAGAATTGATGTTACAGGTGGCTGTGATAGCTTCAAGGTTCTTACCTAGGGCTGCTTCATATTCCTTCTTGATAGATGCCAACAAGGGCTTGTAGGTTTTAAATTCTTCCATGAACAACTCAAATACTTCTCTATAAGGCTAATAGAGAGAGAGAGAGAGAGAAATCAGTACTACCACCAGGCCTGTTATTACAGTGATACTTTATTTAATATTCAGGGGTTGTGTACTTCCACTGGGTTTCCCAAATGGATGTGACCCTTCCTGCTACTGCTATCAGACTGCATGTGCAATATGTGAAGATGCCAGATTGGATCTGGCCAGCTTTTTCACTCAACCTCATCCAATTGTCCTTTTTATTACAGTCTGCATCACACATGCCTTTTGTTCATAGTCCCCAGAATAGACTTTTGGGTGGTGAAAAGGGGACCTCCTCTTTCCTTTTTCACCATCAGAAAAGCTGGTTGGATAAAAAAGAAAAAGAAAAGCTGGTTGGATGTCAGAAAGGTTATACAGCCCAGTAAGACTGAAAATGTAAGAGAAATAGATTCACTTACAGAAACGTTGTGGGTGGAAATAGTGTGCCCAAAAGGGATAAGAGAACAAGTCTTCTTGTGGATTAAAAACTGATTAATTAACAGGAAACAGAGAGTGAGTATAAATGGGCAGCTTTCACAGTGGAAGGTAATAAGCAGTGAGGTACTGCAGGGCTCAGCACTAGGTCTGCTGCTTTTTAACTTGTTCATTAATGATGTGGAGTTGGGAGTAAGCAGTGAAGTGGCTAAGTTTGCAGATGACACTAAGTTGGTGTGTGGTGTGTGGTGGTGAAAACCAGAGAGGACTATGAGGTGCTCCAGAGGGATCTGTCAAGGCTGGATGAGTGGACATCAATGTAACAAATGAGGTTCAACGTGGGCAAAGTAATGCATATTGGAGCCCCAAATCTCAACTATATACATTGATGGGGTTTGATTGGCGGTGATTGACCAGGAAAGAGATCTTGGAGTCGTGGTAGATAATTCACAGAAAATGTTGACTCAGTGTGCGACTGCAATTAAAAAAGCAAATGCTATGCTGAGGATTATTAGGAAGGGGATTGAAAACAAATCAGCTGGTATCATAATGGCCCTGTATAAGTCTACAGTGCAGCTTCATTTGGAATACAGTGTATAGTTCTGGTCACAGCACTTCAAAAAAGATATTATAGCATGGGGAAAGGTGCAAAAAAGGGCAACTAAAATTATTAAGGAAATGGAACGCTTTCCCTATGAAGAAAAGTTAAAGAGGTTAGGGCCTTTTATCTTGGAGAAATAATGACTGAGGGGTGACATGATAGAGGTTTACAAACTTATGCATGGGATAGAGAAGATAGAGACAGAAATACCTTTCTCCCTTTCTCACAATGCAAGAACTCGTGGGCACTCCATCAAATTAATGAGCTGTAGGTTTAGAAAAGATAAAAGGAAGTACTTCTTCACCCAAAGAGTAATTAACACATGGAATTCATTGCCACAGGAAGTGGTGGCAGCTACAAGTATAGACAGCTTCAAGAGGGGACTGGATAAACATATGAAGCAAAGGTTCATCTGTGGCCAGAGGTCATTTCGGGGGGGATCGCAGTTCCCCCAGGGTGAGGTGCGAGGGGGCGGGGCACACGATGAAGCCCCGCCCCTTGCTTCCGGCCGCCCCGCTTCCAGCCCTCATTCAGCCAGGAGGAGGCAGGAGAAGAGGGAGGGTAAGTTGCTTCCTCCCCGCCTCTCCCCACCCCTGCCTGCCTGGGGCCAGGGAGGGCCTTGGCAGGGCTTCCTCACACTCCCGCCGGCCTTGCAGGTCCACCACCGGGCCCCTGATGTCAGGGGTGTGGCATATGCTAATGAGTTATGCTAATGAGTTCCCCAGCTCTTTTTCTATGAAACTACCCCTGTCTGTGGCTATTAGCCACAAGGTAGGATTGCCAGGTCTCTTTGAGACACCAGCAGGAGGAAGTGACATCACATGTCACCCGGAAATGACACAGGCATATTGAGGGTGATGCTCTGGTTTTTGAGGAAACTCTATGGTAAAATTTCCCTCAAACCATAGTTTTGCTAAAAAAAAACAGAGCACCAACATGCCTACATCACTTCTGGGTGACATTGGCACATCACCCAACATTGCTCTTGGGGGGGAGGGAGGGGGGATTTTCTCCTGCCAGCCAGCTGGAACACTCTGTCTGGGGCAGTGACGCTCAGTATTCTTGGTGCTATGGGGGCCACAGTGGGAGGGCTTCTGGAGTTCTGGCCCCACTGGTGGACCTCCTGATGACACCTGGGTTTTGGCCACTGTGTGACACAGAGTGTTGGACTGGATGGGCCACTGGCCTGATCCAACTTGGCATTTCTTATGATCTTCTTCGTGGTCTCTGTGCTTCACACCAATGGGTTTAGTGCGCCTGCGCTGACCCGACCGGTGCCGTAGCAAGCTATGTTTCAAAGGATTTTCGCGCGAGTCCGCCAACAGCAGAGGTTAGAGAAGGGATATGCCATATGTTTCTTTGCTATTTGATCTTTTCTGGGGGATCTTATTTTGTTAACTGTCAGGGTGTTTGTGGTGTATTTTAACTTGGTATTTTACTGTTTTTATTGCAAGTCACTTGGTGGGCCAGCCATGGCTGAAAAACAAGGTTTAAACAGGCACTGACAGATTTTCTTTGACTTCACAGCTAGCCCAAACACTCATGAGCCAGACAATGGGGTTCCACTCTAGATCTGAGGTTTACAGTCATAAGAACATACGAAGAGCCCTGCTCGATCAGACCCAGCATCCTGTCTCACAAAGCAGCAAAAACTAGTTGCCTCAGAGGGGCAACCAATGCTGCTTCTTATCATAATGAGCAACCAATGCTGCTTCTTATCACTGGTTTGTAGAGTTTTACCGCCTCTGAGCGTGGAGGTTCCCAGTAGCCCTCAATGTCCCTGTAAGAGTTGCTTAGTCCTCAGACCTGGAGTCTAAGCTCCTGAACTCTCCCTTTCGTTAGATCCAGAGACAGCAGCTCTGTCCTCAGGTGGGATTCCAGCATTTCAAGGTAGCGTGGCTTTGAAGTGAGAAGACTGACTGGACTTTTGGCACCGCTGTAGAATGACAGAAAATTAAATGCAACCCTTCAACCCAGAAAACGCATTTCCATGTTTAAACGTTCGTCCTGGTTTGTCCTTTGGCCTGTTCTAACCAGTGTTCCCTCTAAGCTGAGTTGGTGTGAGCTCGCTCACAGTTTTTTAGTCCCTGGCTCACACATTTTTGTCTTAGCTCAGGAAGGATGGCTCCAGAGCTAACTAATTTATGCAGTAGCCAAATCACTTGCTCACAACTTTAATACCGGTAGCTCACAAAGCAGACTTTTTGCTCACAAGACTCCACAGCTTAGAGGGAACATTGGTTCTAACCTCCCCACACTTTTTATGATTTGAGGAGCTGTTCTGTTCCGCTGCAGCTTTTCGTTGGAAATGGCACAGTCTGTTGTAGTTTACAAGTTTAACTTTTTATGATGCAATTTGCTTTTACTGGCATGTGTGTTTTTTCTTATGCTCCACCTTGGGAGTTTTCAACTGAAAATGTGGAATATAAATATTTTAAATAAATAAATGCCATTGTTGATTATTGCATAAGATTTCTCTTCCAAAAATACCCACAGTTCCATATATAACTTCGATACATTCTCTAGGATTGTCAACCTCCAGGCAGGGCCCACGGTTCTTTTGGATTATAGCTGACCCTCAGACAACAGAGATCAGATCCCCTGGAGGAAATGCCAGCTTTAGAGGATGGACTCTATGGCATCATATCCTGATCAGCTCCCTTCCCAGGCACCATCCCCAAATATCCAGCAATTTGCCAAAGTAGAGGTGGTGTTTATAATACTCTTGAAGGTGTTATTCTCAAAGAGATTATTAACATGTTTAGTGGAAAGTTACAGCACATGTTTTGGCAGTGAATACTTAGGTTAACAAGCTGTTACATTTTATCGCTTTCTTTAGATTCAGAAGTAATTCTTTTATGTATCTTAGATCATACTAAGAAAATAACAAAGATGTAGCCTGACTGAAATCAGCAAAATCAGTATTTGACAAATACTGAAACCAGTATTTGACAAATACTGGAAACAGGTTAGTAATGTCCTATATAAAAAGTAAAGGTTCCCTTGCTCGAAAGCCAGTCGAATCCAACTCTAGGGTTGCGGTGCTCATCTCCGTTTCGAAGCCGAAGAGCCAGCACTGTCCAAAGACGTTTCCGTGGTCATGTGGCCGGCATGACTAAACACCCAGGCGCACGGAACACTGTTACCTTCCCACCGAAGTAGTACCTATTTATCTACTTGCAATTTCTTGCTTTCGAACTGCTAGATTGGCAGGAGCTGGAACTAGAGACGGGAGCTCACTCCGTCTTGCGGCACCCGGGTCTCGAACTGCTGAACTACTGACCTTCCACAGCCTGCAGTTCAGCGTCTTAACCACTTGAGCCACCACAGCTCCAATGTTCTATATAGGATAGGACTAATATAACAAACTTAAGTGATCAGATTTTGGGAGGCTGCAAAAGCCACATGGATTCTACCGTGTATTCGGTTTTAACTGGTATTTTGAACACATGAAGCTGCCTTATACTGAACCAGACCCTTGGTCCATCAAAGTCAGTATTGTCTACTCTGACTGGCAGTGGCTCTCCAGGGTTTTAGGCAGAGGTCTTTCACATCACCTACTGCCAGATCCTCCAACTGGAGATGCTGGGGATTGAACCTGGGGCCTTCTGCACACAAAGCAGATGCTCTACCACTGAGTCACAGGCTCTAATTTTGGTACTAGTTAGCCACTGAACCGAAGCTCAGATTGAAAACCGGGACAATCAGATCACTCAAATCATAACTTTCTGTTTAACTGTGCAAAGTCTTCACTTTCATTAGATAGTCACCCCCCCACGTATACCTTTTTAATTCAGGGCAATCACAAGGCTTCCTTTTGGGCAGGATAGTGTGGCTTGGTGTGTATGCCGGCCAGGAGGACACATGACTGCTAGAGCGCTCCTGGGCCTTCTGCACACAAAGCAGATGCTCTACCACTGAGTCACAGGCTCTAATTTTGGTACTAGTTAGCCACTGAACCGAAGCTCAGATTGAAAACCAGGACAATCAAATCACTCAAATGAAAACTTTCGGTTTAACTGTGCAAAGTCTTCACTTTCATGAGATAGTCACCCCCCGCATATACCTTTTTAATTCAGGGCAATCACAAGGCTTCCTTTTGGGCAGGATAGTGTGGCTTGGTGTGTATGCCGGCCAGGAGGACACATGACTGCTAGAGCGCTCCTGGATGATCAAAAGGAAAGTGACATACAACACATTCTAACAGCATTTTAAAGAAAGCAGGGTGTACTCATTCATTCACGCAGTTGAAAAAAACCCTGACTGACATGCAGGTGTCAACTCAGAAAGAAAACCTAAGCAAACCTGCTCATTGTGGGGCTTACTTCTTGGAAACTGTTCTTGGGGATTGCATTGCCAATGTGCTCCCTGCCCCCCTGGTGAGTTAAATGATTCTCCTTCATGCCTTTTAAACTGCACCTTCTGAACACTTCTTAAATGTATTACCAGTTTTTTTAAAAAAGCTATGATTTGTCCTCATTTTCCCTCATACTATGGAATGTCCTTTCCCTCTTTATTAATTGTTCAGTGCTTTATGTACGAAACGTTGTCACCAGAAGATGGAATATTTTAAGAAAAGAAATGCAACAGACCATTCATTTTGTTGCCCCGTGTGAACTGACTCAGTTTGCTTGAGTTATTTGGAACTATCAGCACTGTGGTAGGCAGTGCTTAGTGATTCTCCTTCATGCCTTTTAAACTGCACGTTCTGAACACTTCTTAAATGTATTACCAGTTTGTTTTTTTAAAAAAGCTCCTATGATTTGTCCTCATTTCCCCTTATACTATGGAATGTCCTTTCCCCTTTGTTCAGTGCTTTATGTACAAAACGCTGTCACCAGAAGTTGGAATATTTTAAGAAAAGAAATGCAACAGACCATTTCTTTTGTTGCCCCGTGTGAACTGACTCAGTTTGCTTGAGTTATTTGGAACTATCAGCACTGTGGTAGGCAGTGCTTAGTCCATGTCTGCTTTTCAGCCGTATTAGCTTGGATTCTGTGGGCTATAGATGAAGGATCCTTCTTCCACCCATCAGGCCACCTCACTGGGTAGTACCCTAATTTCCAAAGACCTGACATAAACCCAACACAATTTCTATACTTCTTAATGTAAAGGCTCCCCCCTTCCCCCAAAAAAAAAGCTATAAGGAGACCAACATAATTCTTTGTGAACTGAATCCCTAGCAACCCTGGAGGAGAGTTCATAAAACTCTAGAAAATAAGGATGCTGTTCCCTTAAATTTCACAGAGCCCCAGATTTGGCATAGATCATCTAAATGCCTAGATATGTAGCTTCTGTAGCTGCCCAAACATGTGAACTGACATGATTGACAAGCTGCCCTGATCAGATCACACTGCCTCTGGCGACGCCGCTAACTGGAGACATTGCACTCACCAACGCCTTGGGCTTCTTCTGAAATTTCTTCAGATCAGCAGCACTTTCTTCGTGATCTACAGCCTCCACAGATTGAAAGAATGATACCCTGGCCAACAACAAGGAAGAGGAAGTGGACTGACTATTGGGAAAGAGTTTCTTCATGCCAAGAGAGCTCCACCATTCATTCAACTCCTTCCCCCCACCCTGCATCTCTTTCTTTCATTTCAAAAGAATGGCAATTAACACCAAGGGAACAGATGCTAGGCAGAAGCTCCTTAGTTGTATCAAATCCCTGTGCTTGAAAACTCACAGTACTCCGTGCCAGCAAAGAAATCCTCAATGACCTGATGTCAAAATCAGATAAGCTAAGAAAAGGTCATTTATTGGAGGGCCTACGGCAGGGCTCTCCAGTAGGTAGCTCACCAGCTACCAGTAGATTTTCAACTGTTGCTCATGCATCCCCGTAGAAGAGCCAGGAAAAGACCAATTCTGGGTTGTTTGGGTTTGGTTTTTTTTAAAAAAGCTTTTATTTCATAAAATCTTTCTCTGTTCTGCTTAGCAAATAGTTTTATTTCTGGTGCTCTCTCTAGCCCGTGTTTTCCTTCTAAGACAGAACAAAACTTGGTAACCTGAAGTTGTGTGTTTGTGGGATGGGAGTGGGGCGTGTGTCTTTTGTCAGATTACTAAAATAGGTAGAATTTCAGAATCTCAGAAAACTGAGATGAGCAGGGAAATGTGGCGAGCACCCAGGCGGCATTCATCTGACCTCTAGCTGCTGTATGGCACGGTGGGAAGTTGGTGGACTCAGCACTTCTCCGCACAATTCAGTGCAGAAAAGAAATAAATAAGGTGCCAAAAATATCCCTGCCACTCTCATTTGCTGATTAACAACAATAATATACCACATTAATTTATTTATTTTTAAGGTTAGTGCCCGCTGGCCTAGGGAATCCTAAGACGTGAGTTATAGTCCCTGACAGGAAAATATTGCAAAGCATGGATTTTGCTCCTGGCATTTGGGCAGAAAGATGAGAGAGGTATGTGTGTGTGTGTATGGCGACTTCTTAATTTTGCACAACTCCAAATGCACCCATCCAGGACATCTGTTGCCTGACAGTATCCCTGCCCATCCCTACTTCCTCCAGTTTCATCATTCCAATAACAATCCTTTTTCATTTATTTATTTATGCCTTGCTTTTCCTCCAGTGGGGACCCAAAGCAGTTTACAACATCATTCCCCCTCTCTTCTATTTTATCCTCACAACAATAACCCTGTGAGGAAGGTTTGGCTGCAAGAGAGGGACTGGCCTGAGGTTACCTAGCCAGTTTCCATGCCAGAGCGGGGATCTGAATCTGTGGGCCTCCGTGCCAACCCTGATGAACAAAGACTGGGACCCAGATCTTGCTAGTTCTAAGCCAGCTCTCTCACCAGTACACCATACTGGCTCTCCACGTGTCCTGTAAAAAAACGTATCTACTCAGCTGCAGTGGCTGAGTGGTGCCAGGGTACTCATCTTGCTTCTTGTAAATTCCAACATTTGATTTAATTTATTTTTTGCTTTTGGAGCCTTTAATTATAATACCTTTTCCCAAGCTCCTGACTTGACGGCCTGTAATAAGAAGGGAAAAAGAACTGATGACCAATAGACATCACTGAGCCTTGCCTATCTGCCAGTTTAAATAGAGGATGAGTTTATAAACAATAAGAGACATTAACAGGAAAACAGGAAAGGTTTACAATATTTATGAACACAAACAGTGAGCCACACTGTAACTGTTAATTGTATTGCCCCCTATCCAACTGGAGTCTTCCCCTGAAATTGTTACCCCCAAAAGTGAAAATACATGTCAACACATGACAGATCTTGCTCAATAAATCAAAAGAGTTGAAAAGCATCATACTAAGCTTCTTTTCACTGGTTCCTTCTTTTGGGATCTTTTAGCAATTGCTGTGATTACATGACGAGAGCTTTAGAAACTTGTTTAAAACAAACTTTACAAACAAAGCAGAAGCAGTTAGGATCACAACAGGGGGAAAATATCTTCAAAGCAAGTGTCAGGGAAAGCTGCAATGACTGAATTTCTGTCCAGACATTTACGGTTCATTTTTTTTACAGCTTTTGAACTCCAGGACAGTTTACTCAGAAGTAAATCCCACTGAGATCTATGAGACCTACTTCCAAATGTGTGTATCAGATTACAGCCTTTGTTTTCAGTTTAAAGCGAGAGTCTAAACATGTTTGCTTGGAAGAATGTTCCACTGGGGCTCCCTGAACTGTCTTGGGCCCGCTGCTGGAGCCTGTTTTCAGTTCAGGGACTCAGGAACACTGAAGATTAACAAGTACTTCTTCGTAATGGCATTCAGAGGTATACTGCCTCTGAATCGGGAGGTTCCATTGAGCCACCTTGGGCTAATAAAGCAATCTACATCCATGAATTTGTCGAATCCCTTTGAAAACTGTGCAAGCTAGCGGTCACCACGGGAGCCTTTCCCTAAGAAGCCAGAAAGCTCGGATCAATGGTGCAATCCTATCTTTTTAAAACAAACTTTACAAACAAAGCAGAGGCAGTTAGGATCACAACAGGGGAAAAATACCTTCAAAGCAAGTGTCAGGGAAAGCTGCAATGACTGAATTTCTGTCCAGACATTTACGGTTCATTTTTTTTACAGCTTTTGAACTCCAGGACAGTTTACTCAGAAGTAAATCCCACTGAGATCTATGAGACCTACTTCCAAATGTGTGTATCAGATTACAGCCTTTGTTTTCAGTTTAAAGCGAGAGTCTAAACATGTTTGCTTGGAAGAATGTTCCACTGGGGCTCCCTGAACTGTCTTGGGCCCGCTGCTGGAGCCTGTTTTCAGTTCAGGGACTCAGGAACACTGAAGATTAACAAGTACTTGTTCGTGATGGCATTCAGAGGTATACTGCCTCTGAATCGGGAGGTTCCATTGAGCCACCTTGGGCTAATAAAGCAATCTACATCCATGAATTTGTCGAATCCCTTTGAAAACTGTGCAAGCTAGCAGTCACCACAGGAGCCTTTCTCTAAGAAGCCAGAAAGCTCGGATGAATGGTGCAATCCTATGTATGTTTCTGTGTGTAAGTGCCATCAAAGTTAGTCACTTCTGACTTATGGCGATGCTATGAGTTAATGACCTCCAAAACTATCTTAACAACCTTGCTCAGGTCTTGCAGACGGAGGGCTGTGGCTTCCCTTCCTGAGTCCTTCCACCTCATGCTTAGTCTTCCTCTTTTCCTGCTGCCTAGCATTATTGTCCTTTCCAGTGAGTCTTGTCTTCTCATAATGTGACCAAAGCACCATCGCCTCCATTTAGTAATTTTAGCTTCCAGGGAGAGTTCCAGCTTGATTTGATCTAGGACCCACTTACTTGCCTTTTCGGCAGTACACAGTGCTGTCCTCTCTTGGCACCGTGAGGCAGATGGCCCTCTCCCCATCTGCTTCCATCCTTAGCTAGTCAGTCAGTACTCTATCCTGCCCCTGCTCTTTCCTATCTAAAAGTGTACTTCTCAAATAAAGAGAGAAGTATTTCTGTTAAACTTGCCACGTGGCTCTGTGTTAGGGTTGCCAGGCTCCAAGTAAGTGGGGCCTGGAGATCTCCCGCTTTTACAACTGACCCCCAGGTGACAGAGATCAGCTCCCCTGGAGAAAAGGGCTGCTTTGAAGGGTGGACTCTATGGCACTGTGCCATGGTGAGGGCCCTCCCCAAACCCTGCCCTCTCCCAGATCCACCTCCCAGAGTCTCCAGGTATTTTCCAACCCAGACCTGGCAACCCTGCTCTGAGTAGCTTTGTAAGCTGAGTAACCTGGTGAAGAGATGCTCCGTTTTATTTAAGCATTCTGCTAAGGAACTGGACTAACCACACCAGTTAACCCCAACACACGGTATCCGTAAAACTCTTCTCCAACGCCACATTTCGATCAAATGAATCAACTTGTAAGTCTCGCTGGGCACATTGGCACTTACTTCCAAGTAAACATTCTTAGGCTAGGATCGGGTTGCCATTTTCAAGCAGGCACATTTGGAAGCGGCTCTCCCCTCCAGCCCATCTCCCTCCCTCGTTCCTCAGCGGGAAAAGGTCCTGTCCATGGCCGCCGGAAGGCGAGGAGGCTGTTGACATCCGGTCTCCATGGCAACGATCGCGGCCTGCTCTCTAGAACGAAGCCTCAGCGGCCTCTAGAGGCAGCCGAGGAGTTTGCGGGGCGATGTGTCTTTTGCATGTGGGTTTCCCTCGAGCGCGGGCGGGCAGGGGCTCGGCATAATGAGGATAAATCAGGCCCCAGAGGAAGGGATGGTGGCTGGTCTCTGTGTAGGACACGCTTGGGAGCTGCACGGAGCTGGCTGGAAGATTGCTTCAGAGTGAGATATTCAGGAGTTGCTACAAGGGACGGGTTTGAGCGGGTACGCGGTGAAGGAAGGGGGTTACTTCTGCCTATTCAGAACTCGACCCATTTGCAACTGCATACACAAAAGGAAAAGAAATCTAATCGCAAAATGATTGCTGTATAGGCCAGTGACTTTGCGATTTGCGATATAAACACATCACTGCAGTATAGCAATCATTTGGGACCGGATTTTCCTGTGTGAACAAGCCAATCTAGTTGCAAAGGATTGCTCATAGGAACACAGTATCTAATGATGCGTGGGTGCAGTGTGTATGTGTGTGTTTGTGTTGGGGCAATGGTGGTGGCAGGCAGGTGCAGCAGATTACTTTTCCCCAAAGGAATGACTGTGGGACCCAAAGTAGGCTCCCTATTACACCACACTGCAGCAAAGTACCAGTATTTTTTGTCCATTTAACTGCATTTTAGTTTACAGCTGGAACCTGTGCTTGTTTACTGGGAAGTAAAACTAGGTCTGCCAATCTCCAGGTGGGGCCTGGAGATCACCTGGAATTACAACTGATCTCCAGACACCAGAGATCAGTTTCCCTGGAGAAAATGGCTGCTTTGGAGGGTGGACTCTATAGTATTATACCCCACTGAGGTCCTTCCCTCTCCTAGCCCTGCCCTCTCCAAGCTCCACCCCCAAATATCCAGGAGTTTCCCAACCCAGAGTTGGCAACCCTAAGGAAAACTCACTGTGTCCAGTTCGAGAGTGGGGGGTTCTCCCTCATGAAACGAGCGATTGTACTGTGGCCATGCTGCTGCTGTCCCATTGCACACTGATTCAGAAGCAAGCCCCACTGTATTCAGTAGGGTTTACTACTTGGTAAGTGTGCACATAAGAGGCTATTGGTTGTGGGTTTTTAGCTGTCAAGTCACAGCTGACTTATGGCGACCCCATGGGGTTTTCAAGGCAACATACATTCAGAGATGGTTTGTCATTGCCTGCCTGCACGTCACGACCCTGATATATCTTGGTAGTCTCCCTTCCAAACATTGACCAAGGCCAACCCTGCTTAGCTGTCCAGGCCTGGACTATACCCCAAAACAAAAACCAGAATAATATATAAAACAGCCTTCTACTGTCAGATCGTGGCAGGGCCAGGCTAAACAGACTTGCACATTTCTACGCACATTGACTTAAAAAAGGGCATAATTCTGCTTAAAATGGCACTGTTGGCCTATTAAGAGCAGTGGCTGCCAGCCTCAGGTATAGGTCTTTAATATAACTTACTACTTGATCCTTTCAGTGACATAGTTTCAGAGGTTAGCTGTGTTGGACTGCAGAGAAGAGCTAGATTTGAGTCCAGTAGCACCTTAAAAGACCAACAAGGTTTTCAGAACAATGTTTGAGTCCAGTGACACATTTAAGGCCTGCAAGGCATAATTCTGGATATAAGCTTTCGTCTGCATGCACACTTCATCAAAGTATAAGCTTTTGAGAGTCAAAACTCCCTTTGTCAGCATTCTGCCTTCACGTCTTGTATCTGACAAAAGGAATTTTGACTCGCAAAAGCTTATACCCTGAAAAGTCCAGTAGCACCTTAAAAGACCAACAAGGTTTTCAGAACAATGTTTGAGTCCAGTGACACATTTGAGGCCTGCAAGGCGTAATTCTGGATATAAGCTTTCGTCTGCATGCACACTTCATCAGAGTATAAGCTTTTGAGAGTCAAAACTCCCGTTGTCAGCATTCTGCATTCACATCTTGTATCTGACAAAAGGAATGTTGACTCGCAAAAGCTTATACCCTGAAAATCTTATTGATCTTGAAGGTGCTAATGGATTCAGATCTAGGTTTTAAATGGGAGATGTCAGAGATTGAACTTGGGACCCTCTGCATTAAAAAATCATAACATCCAGAAACCAGTAGGGGAACATATTAGTCTTCTAGGGCATATGGTTGCTGATCTAAGTAACTTTGAAGGGAGACTCCAACGTAAAAGTGCTGAATTAGGCTTCATCAAGAGATTCAACACACTCTCTCTCCTAGGCTTCCATAAGGACTTGGGCTACCTCACTCACTACAGGTGCTGATAGCTTAGTATGACCCACATTTTATGGCTGGTAATTAGTTCTGGGTATCATGTGTCACACTGCAACTTCCTTGATTAGATCTGACTTGACATATATCCTGCCCTGCCCATCTATCTACAGACTGGGTGTGGTTCTCATTCCCTTTGATTGGACTGAATTCCCTTTG